CAACTTTTTGACCATTATGTAATTCTTACTGGATACCTGAAATTTTCGACATCCTTTTCGATGAAAACATTACTACTTTAATATAAACTACTTTGTGTAAAATACCTATATTTACGTCTGTACAGCTTTAGCTAATAACATCGTTGAAAGGGAGATTTACGTCGTTATTACTATCTTTATTTTGCTCATTATAATTTCAGCAATATGGTTTAATACTTTTGTATCTGATTTTATTCACAGATTTATCTTCAATAAATATTAAACTTCTTAATAGTATTCCGGTGAATAAAGTATTCAGATTTGATGTGATACAATTACATATGTGTATATTGGCGCTCGTGCGAAAAATCATAGACCAGTAAGATATCTACTCAAACAGCCTGTTTATAAATTTGTAAAGGCTTTTTTCTAAGCTTTCCCATTGTTAATAGAAGTTGTCTAAAGAAATCACCAACACAGATACAACCGACTAAACTGGCCATAAGTGTGTTTGTCACTTGCTTCGTCCTTGTTACCATTGTTTATCTAGTTTACCTTCGTACGGTCACTTGACTTAAATACCATAGGAATTGCATTTGCTTTGGTGTAATAACAAGTTATGACAGGAAAAGTGCGTTAGATAAGATTTATTCCAAACAAGATTGTTCTAAGGATAGCGGTCAACCAGACAAAGAACAAATGTTTGGTATGAATAGATGTCAAACTTAAATATATGAGTCATAGTACATATATGTATGGATAATAATTATAATATTTATACCTAATGCAAAATGATAGTCAAACAAATATGTATAAAACATTTACATACATATGTACATAAGTAAAATCTCAGTTACTTTTAGGGGTTTAAAATAACCAATCATATGACAATGATATATTTGACTATTAAGCCTTTGTTCCATATCTTTTAAAGATTCTTCGATGAGTAGGTGTGCAACATAATTGAAAAGAGATAGATGAATTCGTCTGTCCAGAAATAAAAACATAGTTTCTAAAAGTGGACCAAATTCTTGAAAAGTAGTGGAAGATGCGTCAATAGCCATCAATGATCGCTTCAAACATCTAGGGCATCGTTTACTGCTATCTCACGATTGTGCGTCATTTCAAAGTTATATAGTAAAACTATTTCTCTTCATGCCATAACGGCAATGAATTACTTCTCATATGATATTGTTGCCGAATGGTTAGTGGAAGTTCTATGACTAATCAGATCAGTAGACACAGTACTTTTGATTACGAGTTCAGCTGAAAATGTTAAGGCATCTGGAAATAGACTGAATTACATATTCATTTTTGATGTGAAGAGATAAAAATGTAGTAATAATAGTCAACGAAATCTATTTTTCATGGCATTGTTTCGACTCATTCGAAGTCTGCAAAGTACTAACATTTAGTTTTACGCCTGCTTTATTTTTGTAGTACATAAACTCTCGTTTAGTGTAAAGATGACAATGATATTCTTTTTTAGTTCAGAATTACTGTAATTTTAACGTAACCTTTGTATCACATACTTTTTTACCTCGATATCCTAGTTTGGATATGACTGCATTTTTTCCCATTTTTGCACATTGTGGGCTTGTTAGTCAGATTTTTTGAATTAGTTTGAGTCAGGAATAAATTGGATATTAGTTTCAGTTAAATTATCTCCCTTCTTGCCAACTTATCACGTCATAGGTCAGTGGTAGGACAGATTTCTTCCTGTTCTCAAGGCCGTTCAGTCACAAATCGAACTGACACGTTACTAATCTTGAGGCTGTACTTAGCAACCTATCACTGGATCGAAACAACTCTGTCTCTCTATCTAATATGCCCAGATTAGTGGCTTCATAGGCAAAACATATCTCTTATACAGTGTGTGTGTCTACTTCTTTTCAGAGTATTGGGCGAAAATCGCAACAAATTACTTTGATAAATAAGTTCCTTGTGTTGTCATCTAGCATATTTTAACTACTTAAAATAGTATCATTAGTAAAACATATTTACACGCTTTTTCTGTAAATGGATTCAAGCTAAAAATTTATTGTTCCATTAATCAAAAATACCCAAACGTTATACTTGTAAAGGATGAAAGCATATATACAGAATTATGTAACTCCTAACTGCTTTGTTGACTGAAACAAAGGAGGACATACTCATGTATCATCATACACGTACATATAATCAGTCTTGTCTTTCTTAATTTTGGTCAACTTATCCGTTTCTCTATTTTATCATCGATCAACATCTGTCTTGATAAAACTGTTTACATAATATGTGTCGGAATGGCATAAGTTAACTCCTTTAAGACTGAGAAAACTAATGAATGAAAGCAGTATAGATTCTATTACACGTTCACATATCATTTCTTATTAAATCAAATAAAATTGTCAAAAATCATTTCGTTTTCGAAGAGTAAAACTATATCATTGAATAACATGAAGCACAACAGAAGGTAGTTGATGTGCTTCGCTCTGTTTGACCTTGTAACTTTTTTCTACAAGCCTATACTGAATACATAACCCCAACACTGATATAAAAGTCATATATTCAACCAGTACTCAGTTGATCGTCAATGAAAATCTAAGTAGAAGTATAAACTAATTTATGGTTTGCACAATCACTTGACTTTAGTTAGACAGTTTACACCAAGATGTACTAGTCCTTATGTATGACTTCTCGGGACTGAGGATTCACAAACATACACAGTATCGAACCTGTTTTAAAGCATTAAGGTGAGCTTCTAATTTTTATACTGATATGTCTGTGTTAATTGGTTTACGTTCCTAATTTCAATTAATTCACGATATTATGAAACAATCATCAATTCTTGTTAGTAATATTTGTCTCACAGTTAACATGTTTGAAACCCACTGGTCACATTTTCTCGCTAGAACTCAAATGAACCCTAGAAATCAGACATCAATAAGCCTGTGATAAATGTCAGTTGAACAAGGCCAGTTGGATTGCATAGTAGGATGATTTCATATTCTCTTTAAAGGCTTCTTGTTATCTGAAACACAGTCTAAAGCCTTAAAAAACAACCTTAGTGGAGAGGAAGATTTTAATATTTGATTACAATTATCAACTTAAGTTTTCTAAACTATTATTCCCAATCATATCACTCCTGGTATATGCTCTCTGTTTTAGAGCTGATATGAACCGTTAAAGTCGAATGAGAAAACACTTATCCTCTAGATGATGATGAACTTGTTCTAACTTAAATTATACAAGAAACTAAATGTTTGAAATCCTTCCTAGTTGCTTTTCATTTTTACATACTATTTCTGTTAGTGTGTGACAATATACGAGACTAAGGAAACATGAAATAATAAACTTATTCATATTTAAGGGAAGGCAGTTTCCTGATGGTAACACTGACGGGTGTGATTGATTAGTTTCTATTGAATTGTAAGTAGTAATGGAAACCCCATCTAGCAAAATCTAGCCAGTTGCAGTTCTTAACATCAATAACGCGAGAGTACAAACCCTTAAAATAAATTCATATTTGTTGAATAAGTTAGTGCATATCTGAACACATTAGCTCAGTGGATGACAAGTTGGTGGTGCTTGAAGCAATGAACAATAAGTTGGAGTACCGACGCAAGCATTAACACTGAGATGTAGGTACAACTGATCAATTAGTCGTAAATATAACATATAAGTCTCGGTTTCTGTTATCGGGCACTATTGGAATACACTGATAAATAGATTGTTCGTAATCGAATTGAAAAATAGTTATTTCATTAAAAACGCTTTTCTCTAAAAGCGACACCTAAACAAAAAAAAAAAAACAGTTGATTGTATATATATATATATATTCTATATAAACATCTTTGCTCATTTTATTCAGTTTAAATTAAAAAGGATTTGAACCAAAAGCAAAAACAAGACAAAATTAGCCGGCGCACAAACAAATAGTGTAAAAAATAAAGGTAGAGAAAAAATGATAAATAAGTTAACAAATTCGGTATATAAACCTAAATGTCAAGACAACAACACGATTGTGTTCGAAGAATAATAATAAGGTGTAGTATATAGGGGGGGAGAAGAGGGCATATGCATATCAAGAATAAACAATTGTTTTGGTAAGGGTTAAATAACTGGAAAATGAGATTGATATAATGAACTGAAGAGGTATAAACAACGACAAAAAGTAATGGAATGAAAGAAAGAGAAAGCATCAAGAAAGTTGTTTTTTGTAAATGAACGGTTTTTAATATAAAAAAATCGAAGCTATGGAACTCGACAGTGTATATAACCGAATTCGTTATCAATAATAATACATGACGGCACTGATAAATATTTGTGTAAATACTGATTAAATTGGAGAGATAAAAACGTTATTAATGCTAAGAACAATAGTAAATAATAATAATAATAATAATAATAATAATAATAGTGCAGCATTATAAATATTAGTGTGGTGCATAAATGTTATATATATACGTGATATGTCACCACTAACGTGTTCGTGTGTACTCGTCGACAAGAATTATTTTGTTTCACGGAAGAATCTTTAAAGGTAAGTCGCATTGACCTCTTCTTTGTCCCATTAATTCTTGAAACAAGAAGGCACAAAAAACCAATTGAAGTTAAAACAAGTTATAAGCAATAGTTAGAAGGATAGGAGGGTTTTCGGGAGGAACTCCAATAAAATAAAGTAAATTGCGTCATTTAAGGTTATTATTTATGAATAAAATTATTTTCGCGTTTTTTTTAAAAATTTGTGAAGTGTTTTTTCGAACTGGATGACGTTTTACACATTACAGAATAAAGCAAGCTGAAATTGTACTCATTAATTATATATCCAGCGATAAAATGAGAACTCATGGATACACGCGCGAAAAAATTGATTAAGATTCAACGAAGAAAAGAGACGGAGTACACGTAAACGATAATGATAGTGTAAAGAAATATAGCCAGTTATGGATAAGACATTTGTATATAAGGCACATTTACAATAGTTCTTAGACTACTGATAAAACAGTTAAGTAGTGTAAAAGCTAAACAGAAAATAACTATTAATTAACTGCTATGATTATGACGAGGATAACGGCAACAATTGCGCAAACTGTAGCATGGAGTCCAATTATGAAATATTTGAACATACGACCCTAAAATTATTGAAAAATAAAGCAGAAAATCAGTTACTGGCTAATATTTACAGTTTTATCAAGAAAACTTCAAAAACGTTTTTTTGATTTGTCAAATTTTACTTAAGATTATATTTAATTCATGTAACTGTTCATTGTGAAGTAAATAATGTGAAGATATAACAATTTAATTTCGTCATCTAGGGTTTGATATGATGGCATGAAGTTGGAAACTGACAAGAGCTGATCACCTTATCCAACATTTCTAAGCAAGCAGATAGATACCTTCTAGTATTTTAAAACATTATAACAATTTCTTTGAGCACTCATCTTAGCATGTCTTGTCAACTGCGTCCCACAAATAAAGTAATTAGGTAAATTATGTAGTGATTTATTATTGTATGATTGAAATATTCATATACAAAGAATCTCATTGAAATGATGTATTCATGTAAACAGTCATGTTTGGTGCTATAATTAAGTGCATACTAATACTAATGTCACTTGGAGAACTACAACAACCACAATCAAGAAAGTACAAGTATTTATAAATAGCTGTCTACGCAAAATACTCAACATCCATTGGCCGGATACCATCAGCAACAGCCTTCTGTGGGAGAGAACAAACCAACTTCCAGCTGAAGAAGAAATTAGGAAAAGACGATGGAAATGGATAGGACATACATTACGCAAATCGTCAAACTGCATCACGAGGCAAGCCCTAACTTGGAATCCTGAAGGGAAGCGAAAAAGAGGAAGGCCAAAGAACACATTGCGTCGGATAATAGAAGCAGATATGAAAACGATGAATTACAACTGGACGGAGCTAGAAAGGATTGCCCAGGACAGGGTTGGATGGAGAACGCTGGTGAGCGGCCTATGCTCCTTCACGAGGAGTAACAGGCGTAAGTAAGTAAGTAATACTAATGTCGGAGATCTAGAACGGAGAAAAAAATGAAAATCACTCTTGTAATCATATTAGGTAAAAAACTTATATATATATATATATATATATATATATATATCTGGTAGAAATAGGCATGGGAGTTTGTTATATCATAAGCGACAGTAATGCCTGAACCTTGTAAAATATTCCCTTCTATTAAACTAAACAAGTGAAGATTTTGTTTAGCTAACGTTAAATAAAGGTCAAGTGAATACGTATCTATACTGTAAACATTCTTTCATTAGAACAAAACAAACATTGAATAAAATGAAACTTACAGAAGGTTCCGGTTCTGGAGGTCTTGGTTGACGTGCATTGTTTAAACGTTTAGCAGCTTGATACTGATCAATCTCTAGTACATATGTTCGACGCTTATCTGTACAGAAAAAACCAAAGATATTAATAAAGAAATATATTCCATTTTATACGTACATAAACATAGTGAGCTTCATAGGATTTTAGTTATACCCAATAAAGAAAAACATATTTATAAGAAAGACTTCCAAATACCTGAGTAACTAATGCATAACAACATCCACTGTTGTAGTGTGGTATATAACATGACTGCAGGTGTGAATTCAGTGAGTTGAACGATTAAAAGTTGGTATTTTGGTGGAAGCGAAACGTCGAAATCTGTTAGTAGTTTCCTATTCACGAGATATTCTACTAGTTGGACTCTTCAATGTCACTGGACTCACCTTGGTTATCGCGATATTTTCAGCCATTCCTTCTCCTTGAAGTACTTTACAAATATATCCACCTATTCATTTGATTGAGGATAATGGAGTGGGGAAAGAAGACGTGTGATGTTGAGCTTTCCGTGGCATTGTTCAAACATGACTACCGTAAGTTGTATGGGATTATACAGGATTGTTCATCAAAATGATGACCGTGCTTTTTACTTAAAAAGATAAGTTTGTGTAACTTATTTTGGAGTCCATATAAACTATGCGATAATGATCAAATATATTTTTCCTAAGATTTTGATACGGATAGAACTTTATGGAACAGAAGGCGAATTTCAATAGTATTATATATTCTGAGCTGGATAGTCTTAGTTGTAAAGTTTCCACCTCTTTTCTACACGGAATACGAACTTGTAAGAAAAAAACTATCACATCTTAATATTAATGAAAATAATATTAATTAGGCAACAAGATAAAACAGTTTCATAAATAAGACTACTTGGTTAGGACAATCCATCAATATTAACAGAAATTCTTCACATGCTTTTTAGTAGTGAGCAAGTAGATAATTAATGATTAAAATCATGGAATCTTTAAGGATCGTTTACAAATTTACATCCATTATTATTATTCATTGAACAGTACTTTTGATCTAAACCAAATGTTTCTTCCTAGAGTACTGAAATTTGTAGTTGTTAAACGAGATTAGGCTTCGTTATTATTATTGTTAGTACTTATTGTATTATAAATTCTATCCTATTAAATGAGAATGGTTGTATGATAGAACACGTAAATAGATAAATCTACAAATTTGTAGAAAAGCAATTTTATTAAATTGAAACATTCTAGAAATTAGATTTCAAACTGTGACACGGAATTTCATTTTAACTAAAACAAAATCCTAAAAAATTAAATAGAACATTTATTATACTTTTATATATGAGGGTTTAGTATCTCAAAAAATGTCAATATAATATTGATGGTGAATGGCAAGGAATGAAATTGAAAAGGTATTGTGGTGTTAAAATTGTGTATGGATTTAGTAGTAGTGTAGGATGGTTGATGCAAATTATTGTTGTGACCTACGTCACTTGCGACAACAACAAATATCCTTGTGACCTTTCTTATACATCAGAAATAATATAACCGTTGTCATGTAATGCACATTTATTTCTACTGTTACTTTGTTCCGTAAAATATCATACATAATGTGAAGCTTGGCGTTGAGCGTTTGACTGCAATGAGAAGCATTAGATCCCTCAAGATTGTAGGTACGCCTCATTAATGAGTACCAACTACCACGAAACCTAGGTCCATCTCTTCTTATCCACTATCTGCAACCACATAGCATGATACATACAGCCACATGGAAGATCTCTTGAAAATCCCATACTGTTGTGATTTTATGTCCGGCTTTTTATCATGTGATTTATCCACTAATCAAAAAACGACCTATACAATCTGTGCCAAACCAATGACGTTCGACCGGTATGGGTAGCCTAGCGTCCTTATTGGTCCTTTGCTCACCTAGCCTGTCCACTTGAGTCCAGAACATCAATACCAGCTTCCACTATGCGAATCGAATCATTTATTTCAGACATACTGGGTTTATATATCAAACAAACAGACCGCAACGCAAAATAAAATAGGAAATAACATTTGTACACAATAAAGCCAAAAAGTGGCCGTGAACGTGGGAGGTAGTAGTTAATAAATTGAGCCTAATTTAGGGACAGTAAATCGTATAATAATAATTTATAGGTCGAAATGAAGCTTATAATAAGAGGAATATAAATATACATAATCTAATTATTGAATAGTTATACCCTAAGAATGTACAGATAATATTAGTCAATTAATATGTCTCAGAAGTTCCTCGTGAATTAATCTTCGCTCGGATATAACACATACTTCCCCTTTCTTAATTCGCATGAAGTCATCATTGTTGAAGTGTAATTGTGTATAAGTTGTCCGGTTCGTTAAAGTACGTTAGATCCGTCATTGTATTTTCCGATCGTCCACATTTTTTACTCAAACAATGTTTGAAATATACGCTAATCATTATGTCCACTATTTATTTTTAGTACACAGATTTGTCACTGAGTAATCAACCATTTTTGTGATTATCCTTATTCATTAAAACTGACCGAATTCTATCTAGGAAGCTGCACAGTGATTACCAGTCTAAATGGCTCTATACTGAGTACACTATATTCATTTATATATTAGGTTGTTAAAGTCGGCCAACAATATAAATTTCATAGCTATGAACACATTAATGATGTCCTTGAATATAAAACAAGGTGATTTAACTTTGAGCAACTAGCGTCAGGTATATACTCTAAAAAGTCACTAATATGTTACTGGATCGTCTAACAAAAAGTGAGACCTAATGAAACAAACAGGAAACAATGAGCAATAATACTCTGAAACATATGTCTTACTTTTATTTCGACGATAATAGAAACATCCATGTATCTCCAGAGTAATTTCAATAATAAATTGGAAGATTACAAAAAATATTAAAATCCATAATGGATAATTAATAAATTGTAGTTGAAGGCCAGCAGCAGGCATACGTAAACCTAACATCATTGTTGGTACAGATAGTACATAAGCAAATGTCCCAATGAAAAAATGTATCCAATTAAACCAAGGTCTATATTCATGGGCTGGATTACAACGGCATAATGCGATAATTGGCTTAAAAGAATGAAATGTATGAAGCAAATTTAAAAGGAATTAAATACGTCAATAGATTCCCCTTTGATATAATCGATGTTGAATATAAAAGAAAAAAGAGATGTTTTTGAGGCAAAAACTCTCTAAATCATAAATAGATTTAAAGTAGCGAACCAATGGATGGGTATATTTATTCAGGTGTTTTATTGGAAAGTCAGACTGAGACTTAGCTTGTGGGTCAACATACGTACGTGTCGAGTAAATAGTAAAAAACAAGAGTACAGAAGCGAAAACGTACACTGAGTTTACAGGAATCACATTCGAGTAGTGGAGGTTAGTGATGAAAATACTCAACTTGAAGCATCAAATTTGGACCCCACTTAACTTACTTCAATTCAGTTAGTTGGGTAGTATTAGTAGACACACACACATAAAATATGGTCCAAATACAAGTACATAAACTTGTGCTCGATAGGTGAATTACAACGCAAGAATAGGATCAGAAAACTATGCCATCTACAAGGTTACCTGATGAAACTCCGTATTATGCAAATATCAGTAAGAGCTGGTTAATTGAGAAAGAAAGCAGTCAATTTGTTTGAGTCATGAATTCGCTGATTTTCTTGGACTATTCAGGATTTCAGAGTACTTGTTTAGGTCTTATTAAACAACTGAAACGAATATAATTTAACTATACTTAGTTTCTGTGACTTCTACCTATCACATCTACTTGATTTCTGTCTATCAAATAGGAGCAGCGATTAAGTAACTAATTTAATGACTAGGTGTATTGATTTTTCTATACATCATGACTTAATATCAGTATGAAACTCTAAGTTATTTACCAATGAGATCTTTCAACCCAAAGGTCAGTAGTTTGAATACGGATAAAACAGAGATTTTCAGATATAATGACTTGGTATGATGTTGATATACTTGAGTGCTATTACGAGTTCACCTTACTCGGTAAACGGAACGAAGGTCAAAGATACAGTGACACGATAGGCTAGTCTAATCCGTTGTCCCCGGCCCTGCTAACTAGATCAAGAAATCTTGATGAGGCATAGAGAATGTATTCTACAAGCACCCAGAAAATACGACGTCACTAAGCACACAAAACAAGCTTATTTATACAATAGTAGAAACGCTCTTGGGATAGCTACAAAATAGCGTACTAAAAAAATCCGTCAGCCAATGACAGTCAAGGATTTCCGAGTGCGAAATGTAAGCTGTAGGTCAACTAAGCGTCTCTTGGCCCGAAAACATTAAATTTAAATTTTCAGAATAAAATTACAAAATTAGGACCTTTTCCAAATAAGTTCTGGGGACCTAACGTCCTCAACAGTTATGAAAAATGAAAGCGATGGAGTACGGACTACTTCGTAATTCTTGATTAATCATTATTCATTATCTGGTAATTATTTCCGCCGTCTAATCTTGATTAAATCTTTTTACACATAAATTACAGTTCTGATTTAGTTGGTCAGCGATCGGTAAGACTATAATTTACGGACGACCTCTGAGCAACGCTAAAATGGCCTTGGAATGTCCACCTATTACCAAGGTTAAATGAGAATGATATATTAGTATGAGAAATTAGGATTTACAGTTGAATGTTAGGTTTAGAAATTAGATTTAATATTTTCATCACGAACTGACATCAGCAATAACACCAATATGGTATTTAACCAAATAGGTGAATGAATTTCGCACCAAAATTCAAGGTTTGCTATCTTAGATGTGATTGGTTCGTTTATAAATTATAGTATCACACAGTGATTCTATATCCTGGTAACTGTGTTGTTTGGAGGTCCAAGTTGAGGTTATGTCAACAAACTATCAAGTAGATCTTTTATACGAATATTCGTCAAGATTAGAACGAATAGTTTGACAGTAATTGAGCGCCGAGTATGGAGAAGTCATTATATGTGAAAATTATATTTGAAATATTCTCAGCGATTGAAATTTAACTAATTCCAACGTTTCGTCCAGCTAACTTACCCTGAAGAAGTCCAGACAAGTTAGCTGGACGAAACGTTGGAATTAGTTAAATTTCAATCGCTGAGAATATTTCAAATATAATTTTCACATATCAAGTAGATCATTTCAATACTTTTAGTTATTTATGAAGTTATATAGATAGATAAATAGAAAACTTATTTATAGATGCTAAGGAAATATGAGAAATTTCTTACAAATCATATATAAAACTTACATTAATCAAAGCCAAAGAGAAGACAATTAAACCAAGTATTGGATGTATATAATATGGATATGCTGTTGCTTGTGAATAGCCTTCACAATAGATAAAAATCAAAATTATACTAATACACGTTAAACCGACACATATGCCTTGTAATATTCTATGAGATTGAAACCAGACACGTTCACCTAATAGGCCAGAATTAGGCCATACATCTTTGTAATAACGAGCTAGTATAATACCGATACTAGCGCATAATACCCAAGCTAATACCATAAGACATCCATGAGTTTTAGCAATTGCGGAACCACGACCAATTATACCTGTCATACTTCCATAAATAGGTCTGAAAAAAAGGTAAAACAATTGATTACAATTGTATGTATAGATCTAACATTGAATTAATAATCACAAAATTATAGGAAATTTAATGAAAACAGATAGATAACAGTTGGTAATCAGTGTTGATTGTGCTCTATTGGTAAAGTTAAAGAATACAGAGTTGATATGTTGAATGTTTAGTGTTTATAGAGGAGGAGGGATTTAAACTTCATTTAAATATACGCATACCTAATCAGTTAAATATGTACCATTAGATGGAACATGAGTAGGATGGAAGGAGGTTAACGGTTAGTAAATGAAGACATGATATTTATCTATAAAGTCATTGGTCGTTATGAAATTATTCCTCAAACTAGACTATATAACTTTGATGATACGTGTTTATTGGTATTAACGACTAATTATTTATTTTGTATTGGTACGGATTTGTTAAAATTAGTGTCCAAAACAATTTTTGTCAAAATAATAGAAATATCGTTTATTCTAACAATATTCAAATGCATAAGAAATAAATCTGTCAAATTATCTTTCCTAAAAAATATCCTAACGTAATGGGAATAATTGACCAAATATTTACTTTATCCTACTTACTTGGTTATGACAACACACTTGGTTAAAGTTTTGTTTTTATAATATGAAATTTCAAAATGGCAGTAACATTGCTCCTGCTCACGACAACTAGGAATCATTCGTTTCTGAATAAATTGTAGATAGTATTTTTCGTAATTCATCAGTGTGAAATCGTCTATTACCTTCACTTTCGAAACGAAACAATTTTTTTATTAAAGAAAAATATTTGTCTTCACTTGGATCGACCAGGGATTTGTGTAACTTTATTCTTTCCCTTACCGATTGAAACTTATGTAATTCAGTATACAACGGTCAGAAAAGTTATTATTAAGCTATTTCGATTGCAAACGGTCAATCAACTACCCTTTTTCATTCACTTTACAATAAATAATCCCAGAACTTTTGATATAAATTTACAAGAAAACCAATATATTTTAAAAATTTCACTTTTATAGAGAAAAACAAGCCTACAGAGATTTAAAAAGGAGATTAAACATAATTCAATTACTTACGAAGTAATGACAACCGGACGTTGAGACACCGATTCTCCACCAGCAAAAGGACGACCGAATCCGTCTTTTTTACGTTCAACACCACGAGTAACAATCAAATGATATGCATTCGGTGATGTTAAATCCATTAATTGATGAACCGTATCCAGTGGTCGAACACGTCGTCTAAAACGACATTGTAATGTACCATCCATTGCATTAAATGTACCACCTAAATTCTCACCATCTGTTATTAATAATTCCTATGAATAATAATAATAAATGAGCTCGAATAGATCTGATAAATTGAAAAATGTTGAACAAAAAAAAACAAGTTTATGAGAATTTGTCACCTACGTTGTTTAAAAAATAAATCAAAGTCAGATTAGGTAATATTCATGCAAACTATGGCTTTATCTTTTTCGAAAAACTCCACTCCTTAGCAGGATAGATTCTTGATTATTACTTGCTCGAGACTAGATCGAAATAGAACGCACAACTTGGTTCATTCTTCAACCAATCAACGCTAGCGGATAAACTGAGAAGATATTAGAGTATTCCTGTGTACGTCATATATGTATGTTGACATTTTAATACATTACCCTTTCTTGTTCGAATTTTTGGGATGCATTTTTGTTTACTTTCAATTTGTGTTCTGATTTAAAACCAGTCGAATGAAATAGTGTATCCAAAGAACTCTAGACAGCATATATTTCCAAAAACCTAGGAAACCATTACCCCTCAAGAGTTACAAACTCCTTTAACAGTCAATTCAATCACGAAACTACAACTGAGAGGATTATAATCAGAAGAATAATTCATGTTTAAATAGATAAAAAACAAGATAGATGTAAACTTTCAAACATTGTGAAATCGCCTCATACTGCATAAATAACCGAATTAACGGAATGCAATAAAACTAAACCTGAATAAGAGAGAGGAAAGTGAATTCTAAGAGCAGAGTAGAGTTTATAAAAGAAGCACAAAGAAAACAAGCTTAAATATAGAATAGCAAGTCGTTGTGTTATTAATAAACTATGAGTGATTTTAGATTAAATCCTTGAAAAAAAATCACTCCCTCTCTAACCGTTCATTTTAGTCGTCTTGAGAACCATAATTAGGATGTTTCGAACACTTTACTGCAGGTGTCAAACGTAAGACATTTGGAATAAATCGAATACATTAGTTTGACGAATCTGAAGTTTACTCCTTTTAAGCTTTACTTGAATCAATAATGAAGATTAACTTCGAGAAATAAAGTATCCAGATATGCATATATAACTATGCATTAATAAGTCACTCAGTGATTACTTAAATTCTCAACCTTGTTCAATATTTATACATACTGGGAAGATACAAATCCATATCATCAATAGGATCCTGGAAAAAAAGGGTAAATATCATACAAACAGTGCAATGTCATTATTACAGGCGTAGTGTGTCCCATGAGATGCATACACAAGAAACATTACTTGAATGTTTATCAATGAGGCAATAAACTTTAGTAACTGCATTGAATATATTTATAATTACATCTGAAAAAGATTGTTTTGACCCTTCATTTAGATATATATTCACTGCAATAAACGAAATCCAGCTACTGATTTTCTAAACTTGGGAATGTAGTCTTGCGTTCAGAAATGATAAAACACAATCATTGGTTTTTAATATTCAACTAAGCGATTGTCGTTGTTATTATCATCTCTAAGACCTGGTTATGAACACATACCTTTCTTCCGACAACTTTATAACACACAATTTACATGTGGTTTTACTCATTTACATGCATTTTTGTGTGAAATATTTTGCAGTTACGCGAAGCAAATGAGAAAAAATCAGGGTGTAGTGAACGAGTGCGGGGACAACCAAATGTATTTAAACACGAAATTACAGAATCACAGTAAAATCTGAAAATCATACAGTAAACACTTTATTTGCAAAATGTCAATCACTTATTAAAGACTTGACTCTTCCTTAATTTACACACCAATCACTCTCTGTTCCCGTTCTCTTATCTTCGATTTTCTTAACCTTTTGTATCCACGCATTTCACCTTTGATTGGTGATATATACCATTTATATCTGTCGATATCAACAGCACACATCACAAGGACACCTACAGAAAAACCAACTCGCATTTGTCCAGCTAAAAAGGGGACCATATTAGGATTAGTAACATTTGTTTGTTATGCACCAACTTAACCTTATAATATCGTAGATTGTATACATAAATTAAGTTACTGATTAATTAACATCAAATTCATTGAATAAAAAAAGAATTCAGCGAAGAAAATCTTTTTCGTTGGATTCTCTTTTTCTTATTCAATGACACAATGGGTTATTTTAACTATCCAGTTCAATTTATTTAAATTTGACTATTCATAAGTTTAAGTAAAACTTGTAAAAACTCGGTTTATTTAGATTAAGCTCTGGACTCATTTTTGATGTTCAATAAGTTCACATCTGTGTGTCCATATCTTCTTCCTTGCATCGAGCCATACCAGGCCTTATTCCAATATAACACTCGCCAAAACATCATGCTATACAAGTCACATCTGACATCAGTCATTTACATATTTATGTACAAACACTGTTTCAAGTTTACGACTAATTGACTGGCTATAATAACATCATCTCTGCTTCAAAAACAGGCAGTATAATGAGAGGAGGATGAGTTCACCTATGTACAATTGTTTTTTCGCTAAATACTGGACAATAGCGTCCACATATAAGTCATGACAGCAAAGAATAAGTAATTTGTAGGCTATGCCTATTCATTTGATAACATCTAAAAAATACATGTATCTGGAAAAAAAATTACAGAAAAAGTGTATTTTAGCCATCTTGTAGACAAAAATATCAAGGGACAAAAAGAAAGGAGTTTACAATAGAAATCGACACGTGAAAAAATAACACTACAGGGACATTAAAAATGTATGAGGATGATAGTTTTCCCTATGATTTAAATTATTTCTATGAATATATCTTCAGCAGCTCCCAATTAATTTTATTTTAGGCTAATATGATTAGGCTATGTGATTCAATAACTTAAAAAGTCAATACTGATTGAAACCCATTCGTTGCAGCTTGTACGTAGCAATTTGACTACTGTTCGTTCGTTGTTAAAGAAAATCAATAAGTCTGATATTTAACCAGTGCTACAATTCCTGAGAAATGAGTTATTAGTTTTCTCATTCAGTGAACATATATTGGCTGATCAGACTACTAGTAAACTCACATAACAGGTTGACCCCAGGTATCTCTAGTGTTTAGTCTTATAGCAAGTCAAGATATCATTCACCAACTGATTCCAGGATTCAATATCCTATAATTTATTTGGTTGACTGCAAAATAGTACACCTAAAATCCACCTCAGACTTTTGATAACACGATGAAAACTTCTAGTACAAAAGGAGCAACAATACCGTAAATTTAGAACTAATTTTGTTTTGTTTTTTTTGACGGAAACTGTTTCAAAATCTTAAGATATAGTACAAGCTACTAATATCATTTATATCATGGGGGTCTTTGATGCCCTATGTTCTATTCATGTATCTCTGGTGAAATTATTCACAAAAAAAATTATCCCCACCACACCCTACCCCCAGAGTGCAGTTGTGTACTTGATGTCCAATCCATTTTATTCATAATTTTTTGTATTTGTAACTTTATATCTAACGTGGATCGATAAAGAAAAACAGAAAAAGTAGAAACATTTCCAAATTTCTTTTTACTTTGAATTAATAGAGATGTAGGTCAAGGTATTCTTCAAAACAAAATTGGTTAGTTTATTATGTATGTGTGGTTATATACATACGTACATAAACATTTATCGACATCAATATAGTACAATACTTTGTAACAAAGTCATGTCGCTGTGCTAATACAGTGTGGCAACTTGAACTGATACACATATGTACCAGGTTCTACGTTGCTGATGCCTGACTAACTGACTGCCAAAGACAAGAAACACTATAAATAAATTAAATTCCGAAAATAATTATATATATATATATATATATATATATATATATATATATATATATAATTGTGGACTGACAAAATGTGTTATCTGGTAGTACTTCTATATAAATAACCTACGCAATTGAATAAGTGTATAGGCGTATACGTGTGCGTATAGGTACACAGCTTACCATGTAGATCGGTTTAGATTATGTCAAAACAAATCTTTGCTTTAGTGGGAGAGAGGAACGATGTAGTTCTAACTGTTACATAATCAAGAGGCAACTAAGTATAATACCGATAGTGAAATTATTTTTTTACAATAAACAAATAAGCAAAATGTTTATAGAACAAAGAATAAAAAGTAGTTATGTAATAAAATAAGTAAAACAACTTTTTTATTCTCTCTATTAGTTGGTAAGTATATAAATATATTACCGCAGAAGTATAAATAAAATTACGAATCTTAGCCAAATGTTTCCAGAAAACAATAAGAAAAATTTAAAGGTATATATCAAGTTTTTTTTTCTTGATTATAAGCAACAACGAAATTTGACATCAGGAATTATTTGGTCATTTTCAGGAAAAAATTGTATAAATTGAGAAGTTATTTATTAAGAGGTTTTATGTATCAATGTTTGAAACATTTCATATATGAAAGCTAATCGTATTAACCGGTGACGACCAAGTGGATCAGGGAAGATTTAAACCTCCAACTAGAAGATATAATAAACAATTTTCGGTTTAATACTTTGCATTCATTTATGTAAGTCATCTATTAATGTTTTCATAAGCCAATAACATAATCGAAAATTTACTCATTTCAAGGGAATATCAGGATTAAACTTGAGTTACAGCGGAATTTAAATAAAAATTCTATTGAAATATTGTTACATACTGCCTTCTTTCTTACTTCTACTTATTGTAATTTCTGTTTACGTGTACATTTCCATCTGTTTTGTTATGGAGTTAACTTTTGAACAAGGATAAGTTATAGATTTTTCAATCTCAATTACAGGTAATTCATTACAATTTCGTTAATTGCGTTTAATGTTAGCAGATATTTTTCTGTTATTAACAACTTTTAAGTAGTTATTAGTAATTACATTGAACAATATAGTTTTACACTGTCGACAAGAAATAAATGATTAAGAAAGATTAACTTTTCCTATATTTTTTTCTTAGTGTCAAGGCATGTTTAGATATTTAATAAATTGTGTGTGTTTGTGAATTTTATGACGAATTGCACTTTACTTACTTCATCTGGTCCATTATAAAAATTCGTAGTTTTACCAGCTATATCATTATATCCAGCTCGAATATTCACAGTATTTGTTGATGATTGATAATAACAGCCAACGACACCATCGTCACCCTATATTGTGAAGTAAAAATGAAAAAAAGATTATCCAAGCGAAAAATATGATTTGATTTAACAAGATTTAGGGATAAATGATAATCTTTTTGTAATAACTTACTATGAAATATTTTTTCTAAATAGCCATAAACACTAACTGAAAGGAGTACAAACCGTGACACAAACAACAAGATATAAAAAGAAATTTATCCATTGTACACGCAAGTAGATATTTGAACTCAGTAAATAACATGCTGGGCATTTGAAGTCAAAAGTAGTGGGTTAAAGTTGCAGTGTGAATATCAACAGTGAGATGCAAGTACATCTAGCTGAAGAATCTCAAATAAGACGATCTATGCGTCCTGAGTTTTACTGCTAGCCACTATCCGACTATACTATCAATATAAAAGATAACTATATTCGGTGCTGAACCAATAAGTAATCTCGAATTAATATTTCATATTGTGGAAGATTGTAAGCAAAATATACATCAAGGCTTATAGATTAATCAAAATTGGTTTACTAGCCAATCTTACTGCGAAACAATCTTGTAATTATTATCAGAATGGGTTTTGTGGAGAATTTTAGAAATTTCACAGTTTGAAATCATGAGTCAGTTGAAGCTAGACCACCATTGAAAACCTGGAAGCACTGGACGGCCGTCTCGTCCTGGTATGGGACTCCTCAGCAGTGCGCATCCACGATCCCGCACCACGCGGGGCTCGAACCCAGGACCTACTGGCTTCGCGCGCGAGCACTTAACCACTAGACCACTGAGCCGGCATCCAACGGTGTTAATGTCTAACTTCAACCAATCCACGAAGTTGCGCCACCGTGAAATTTCTAAAATTCTCCACAAAACCCATTCTGATAATAATAATAATCAACTGCTCACTAGTGACTGACTTCAGGAAAAACTCCTGAAGTTCTAATGAGAAGCCGTTACCAGTGGAGTTCAACCGGTCTGTTGTGAGATAACAACTCACTGAAGACAATGGTGTACGGTGGCGCAACTTCGTGGATTGGTTGAAGTTAGACATTACCACCGTTGGATGCCGGCTCAGTGGTCTAGTGGTTAAGTGCTCGCGCGCGAAGCCAGTAGGTTCTGGGTTCGAGCCCCGCGTGGTGCGGGATCGTGGATGCGCACTGCTGAGGAGTCCCATACCAGGACGAGACGGCCGTCCAGTGCTTCCAGGTTTTCAATGGTGGTCTAGCTTCAACTGACTCATGATTTCAAACTGTGAAATCTTGTAATTGTTATATTCGAACTCATCAGTTTATGAACATGAAGCTAATTAATCGATCCAAGTAACTATGTTCAAATGAAAAACTTATGCGGACCTCAAAATGAACTACCAACTTTTTGCTAGTTACTAAACCTTGAGAATACAGATAAATTGAAAATACATGGTTGAAATGTAAGAAAACTTAGATGAGCACAGTAATTTAGCATCAAATTATTTTCAAACGTTTTAGTTGTTTTTTATCAATTGTAAAATCAAAGTATGTTCCGCATCAAAAAGATCATTTTAATGGTTCTAGATTCAGATCATTGTATAAAGTGGTAAATATTTTCTAAATAACTTGAGAAAGCTCCCACGTTGTTTGCATGTACACTGGTTAATAGGCTATTAAAATAATGTTTACAGGTAACAACACTTTGGTGATCATGTGTGTCATTTATCCAGTGAATCCACTAACACAATAATTTACTGGGATATCATATTCAAACAATTATTGAAAAAGAAAATACTTAGTCAGTTATTAATATTTTTTGGTCGTCAAGGGAAAACAGTTACAGTTAGTACCTTGGGACCTATCGGTTTGATAGTGAAAAATACTTTATAACTTCGTACATATCATCTAGTGTGCTTGATCGTAATTATCCCAATGAATGGCATTGTTGTTACAGTATTTTGACTTGTATTACCAATTCTGGTTACTTTACAAACAAATATTTAGTCAAAATTATTTCAATCTTATTTGCTGTTAGTCCAAAATTTAGATCATGTAATAATAATCACGTGATTTATTACCTAGGTTCTGGATGCTGAAATGTACTGAAATGATTATATACATGGTATCTACACCTACGTCCAAAAACAGTATCTTTATTAAGAAACCAACCTTACTTTTGACTTATTAGAAGGAAAAAAACATAATTATTCAGTGTAATGAAAACTAAATTATCTAACACGTATAAATATCCCAAGTGTGTGAGCGACAGTGATCTGTGACTGAAAAATAACGAAGTTTCGAGATAGGACGAGAAATGAGTGCCAATATCAATGATTTCAATATTATACTAATGACGTCCTCCTTGCGGGAATTTTAGAGATTTTATTCATTTTACCCAATTTCTGGTATCAGAATTTGACATGTAATTTAATAAGCTATCATGTGCATCCCAGTAAATACATATTGTCCTTTTTTCAAAAATTATGATTCCTAATTTCTGAATAACATCCTTACTATAGTCACGTGACAGAATAGTCAGTGTTATAATGATATAAAACACGAAAAGCTTTCACTAACAGCCTGAGATGTATGCTATGGCAATAAGACCAAAATTTAGAGGAGTAACCTTAGAACAGCTTTATTGAAATTCATTGTAGGTCATATTACTCAATCTTTTGGATCATAGATTATGATTACAGCGTAGGCTCAAACTACTAAGTCCACACTTGTCAACATTGTTTAAGCAAACAGCTGGTGACTTCATGTAATAGAACTATGTATTTGTTCACCCAACCTTTTTTCAACACACTTATACACAAGCGAGCAAACACTGAAGTGACTAAGGAGATAAACCCAATAGTTAGTTGATGAAATTGGTAGTTCAATGGTTGAGCAAACAATTTGCCTTCAACTATCTCGAAAATGTATACTGTAACAACGTATAGTAAACGACTTAATAAACTATGCGAATTATGAGATCACATAAGTGTTTACCTTATTGATATGGTTTTAACTATTAACCTAGATTGAGTGAAACCTTAGTCAATGGAGATGAGAATTATTCATCCCAAAGAGCTTCGATGCCAAATTTTTTGGCATATAACATGTATATACACAGTAAGACGCAGTAAACATTGTTTATCTAATTCAAATGAAACTGAAATTAATCGGTGAAAAAAGGTTAATGGTGGAATAATTACTAATCACACTGTTTGAGAAAACAATTTAGAAGAGAAACTTTTCCATTTTATTTGTAATTTCCAATTAGGAAATAAAAACGACAAAGTTTTTGCATCTTGTAAATTATTCTTTTTTGGATCAATAACTGGATTTAAGTTAAATTTCCCGCCTACGTGACAAGCATAACTCGGTGAAATATGCTTCACAACACTGGTATGCAGTAAATTTTTCTGCAATTTGTATGTCAACCAATCAACATACAGTGAAAGTGCACACTTATAAAAAAACAGATAGTAAAATAGCCAATCATATTTTAGAAAAAACAAATATTGATTTTTGTTGGTAATTTTTACGTGATGTCGGCAAATACTTTTTAGCATAATTCATTTCTTGTTTCGTTACTTATGTAGGCGTCAGCAAGCGCGCCCGAGATTTTCCCTTGAGTGTATAACAGCAATTTGATCAATTTTAAAGTATTTACATTGAAAGTTTCATGAAAAACTGAAACAGTCGTATTGAGTTTTAGAATACAATTCTTTTTATCTGGGAGGACTTCAGTCTTCTTATTGCTTTCACATACAACTCTTGTAAATTGAGACGCCAAAACTCTATTCTGCTCACAGTTAGATTACGTTTCTTATGACTGGCTTGGAAGTGGAATACAACAGTAGATAACTGAACACAATTACTTTTGTACCACCGTTGTTTACTGTTGAGTTAGAAAAATACATATACGTAGTTTCCAGTGGTTGGTTGACTTCTAAAAAATCGCCCTTGTACTCAACAGTGTATGTGAACTGATTAGTCACGTGACAATAATACGTATTATTCAGTATGGTGAATACCAACAGTTTATAAGCGCTTATTCTCGTTACAAAAATGAACGTTAGAAATTAGAAGCTAATTAAAAAATACAAAAGTAATAGTTCTTCTACTACTCAGGGATTTTTCTTGATAACCTTGTTTCGCAGTGTTAATGTGGTGTAGCAACTTGGGCCGATGTATATGTACGTTAGGTTCTACGTTGCATATGACTGATCCACTGAGTGGAAGTTATAAGTCTGAAGACTTAAGAATATTCTAAGGAATTAGTCAGATCCTACATAAAACTAGGTTAGTGTTTATCACGTTATCACATTATTCTTTATAGTTGAACAAGAGGTAAAGAATGGATCATAAAAAGTTCTATCCACTGACATCTTGTTGATAGTCGACATCAAGCTGATCTCAAAGTGGCATTTGAAGCTATTTGTGAAACTAATCCAATATACTGTACTCCTCAAGACTTCACCTTCGGAGTACAGTGTAAATTATAAGGGATTCACTTGAATATAGTTAACTTATGTGATCAGAAGAAGTCTACACAGCCTCATTTTCTACCCTGATCCCGCAGGCCTAATAAAAAGAAACTTTCGAAATATTGCTTAACACATTCATTTTCTCCAATACACTCGTTTAAAATGTTTTGCTTCTTCATATTCTTTTGAAAACAGTTTAACAAGTTAACTACTTGACCAAATCTTTCATTTTCTTTTACCAATCACTATTAAGTATATACTCTGGTAGTATACTACGAAATTTTCAATTCTTTTTTTAAATTTTAACTGTTAATTAACAACTTCATCGAAGATCTTCGATATGAGACAACTAATCAGTAGTAGTTAAATAGTACACTGTTTGTCATAAGGTCGGATGGTCTTGGGTTCTATCCCATGTGTTGTCTTGAATGGGAACCACACTGAGCAACTCCATAAAAAATGAAACAGCTATATAATATTACTAGCTGATTTCTAATGTTGTGTTGAAAGCTAACTTTGATTTAAATAAGCTTTGTAAAAACCGCTAAAATTAATTTAATATAATTCTTGTTGACAAACTTA